TTGTGGAGGGTTCAATGGTGTATAATAATGTTATTGATTTTTTTTTTATCCTGCTACACTACTGAATTTATTTATTAGTTCTAAGGGTCTTTTGGTGGGAAGTTTTTTATGTAAAGGATCATGTCATCCATGACTGAAGTTAGTCTACATCCTTCCTCTCCTATATATGTCCCATTTACCAGGCAGACACTTATATCTCTGAGCTATCTCCCCAACTATATGTTCCATTTAATTCTTCCTCTTTCCTGATTTCTCTGGATAAAGTTTTAAGTATGATATTGAAGAGGTATAGTGACAGTGAGAATCCTTGTCTTTAAAAAAATATATTTTATGTATTTATTTCGTACAGGATCTTGCTATGCAGCTTGGATTATGTAGTGATCCTCCTGTCTCAGCCTCCCCAACACTGGGATTACAGGCATACACCATCATGCCTGGTCTCGGTGGCTGACACAGCATGTAGTACTAGGTAGGGATCAAACCCTGGTCCTTGCACTTGCCAGGCAGGTGCTTAGTCCACCAAGCTATCTCCCCAGCCCGGCATCCTGTCTTGTTCCTAATTTTAGAGACGTATGATACCAGCAGTAGGTTTATCATGAATGGCTTTTATCAGATCGAGATAAAATCATTCTATACTTATATTGTTCAGGATATTTATGATGAGTGGATGCTAAATTTTGTCAAAGGCTTTTTCTCTGTCTATTGAGTGATCACATGTTTTTTCTCCTTGCTTCTGTTTACCTGATGCATTATGTTTATTAATTTGCATATGTTGAGCCATTCTGGCATCTCTGGGATGAATCCTCTTTGGTCATGATATCTGATCTGTTTGATAATTTGTTGCATTTTGTTTGCCAGTAGCTTGTTGAAGATCTTTGCATCTGAGTTCATTAAGGAGATTGATCTATAATTTTCTTTATTAGTTGAGTCCTTGTCTGGTTTTGAAATTGAGATAATTCTAGCTTTCAGAAATGTCTCTGGCAATACTCCTTCCCTTTTGACTTTATGAAAGAGTTTGAGGATGCCAGGGATATAGCTCAGTGATACAGCGCCTGCCGGGTAAGTGTGAGGTTGTGAGTTCAATTCTTGGTACCAAAACACACACACACACACACACACACACACACACAAAACAAAAACAAAAACCAAAACAAAATAAATCAGTTTGAGGAGTACTGATGTTAGATCTTCCCTGAAGTTCCTGTACAATATAATGGTTAATCTGTTGGGTTCTGGGCTTTTATGGTAGGTATTATTATTATTATTATATACTGCCTGAATCTCATTGCCTATTATTGGATTATTCAAGGTTTAAATATCTTCTTAGTTCAGTTTTGGTGATTCAAATGTATCTAGGAATCTTATCCATTTCTTTTGGATTATCTAATTTATTGGAGTACATGTTTTCCAAGTAGTTACTGGTAAACTTCTGGATTTCACTGCTGTCTGTTAAGATTTCCTATTTTTCATTTGTAATTGCACAGGATTGGACTTCTTCTTTCCTCCTTTTGGCAAATTTGGCTAAGGGTTTGTCTATTTTGTTTATTCTTTTGGAGAACAAGTTCTTAATTCATTGTTTTTTTTAAAGTATGAATTTCTTTAATTTCTGCTTTTTTCTGTTTGTTTGTTTTTTCTAGAACCAGGGATTGAATTCGGGCCCTTGAGCTTGCCAGAGAAGCGCTTATTCCACTGAGCCATCTCCCCTAATTTCTGCTTTGATCTTTAAAATTTCCTTCTTTATACTAAATTTGGATTTGGATTATTCTTGTTTTTCTAGAACTTTGAGGTGAGTCATTAGGTTGTTTATTTGGCCTTGCTCTGTTTTTGTGATTCACAGCTACAAACTTCCTCTTAAGACTTTCATTATGTCCCATACATTCTGGTATGTTGTTCTAGCATTATCGTTTGATTCTAGGAAGTGTATACTTATTTTTATTTTTTATTTATTTATTTTTTTACAGGGGAGAGCGCAAACACAGTCCCCCACTACCACAAATTATGCAGTCGAGTTTCCCGCATTTGGGGAAATTGAAGGGGGAAGCACATCCCAAGTGCAATGGATAAGCCTCGCCCTGGGAAAACTACCTTTGTGATCATGGTATCTTCCCTGCCAGGTAAGCATATTATTTTTAAATTAACTAATTAATTAATTTGATACACGGTCTTACTATGTAGTTGATACTCATAGTCATCCTCCTATCTCAGCCTCTCTAGCTCTGGGATTATAGGGTTGCGCCACTATGCACGTTTCAGGGCAGGCACCACATGCAGTACTGTGGATCAAAGTTGGGTCCTTGTGCTTTCCAGGTGGGCACTTAGATGGCTGAGCTAGCTCCCCAGCTAGAAGTGTCTACTTTTTTCTTTGATTTCTTCTGTGACCCATTGATTAGTAAATAATATATTATTTAATTTTTCATGTCTTTAGATAACTTGTGAGGTTTCTTTTGTGATTGGTTTCTAGTTTCATTGCACTATGATTTGATAATGTGTATGATAGACTTTCAATTCTTTTATACTTACTTAATCATGCTTTGTGGGCCAATATATGGTCTATCTTAGAGAAAGATCCATGTTCTACTGAGAAAAAAATGTACTCTGTTGCTGTTAGGTGGAATGTTCTGTAGATATCTGTTAAGACTGTTTAACAGATGGGGAGATGGCTCAGGGGAATAAGCGCTTCCCTGGCAAGCACAAGGGCCTGAGTTCAATCCCTGGTTCTGCGCACCCCTCCCCCCCCAAAAAAAGAAAAAAGACTGTTCAATGGTGTTCAACTATGACATTCCTTAGTTGATCGTTTTGTCTAGTTGATCTATTTGTAAGAGTGGTGTATGAGGTCCTTCATTTGTTACAGCTTCTGTCTCAGTGTCTCCCCAAGCCTCATGTACTCATAGGTGGGGCTTTTTGTAGGTAGCTGAATCTAGGGTGTGTGAATATGGAATAAGGGTATGTGGTAACTGAATTGGTTTAACAGATTTCTAGGTGGCATCAGTAATAGGCCTGTGGCCTAGATGAACTATAAAGAGAGAGAAAGAAGTCAGGCTTGCTGCTGCTGTGCGCTGCTGCCTCCAGCCTGCTCTGTTATGGGCTATTTCTCCTCTGTGATGGCCCTTTGCCATGTCATCCTGCCTTGGGGCCAGATGACTATCAACTGAAACCTCGACAAATTGTGATCCAAAATAAATCTTAGTGTTGGGTATTTTGTCATAGCAACAAGAAAAGTAACTAAGATACCCAGTGTAATGTTTCTGCTCTTTTATGTCCTCTTCCTCTTCATCCTCCTTCTCCTCTTCCTCTGCATCTTTTTCTCCTCCCTCTCCTCCTCTTCTTCCTCCTCCTCCTCTTCCTCCTCTTCTTCTTCCTTTTCTTTCTCCTCTTCCTCCTTCTCTCCCTCTTTCTGCTATCCTACATTTCCTCCTTTTGCTTCTCCTTCTTTTTAATTCAACAATTATTATTTTCCAAATGTCTTGACTCCAGGCCTCAGAGAGTCTGTCTTTTGTTGCCAGTCTTTACTCCACCAATTTTAATATTCCAAAATCTGTGAGTTTGCATATTTATCTCCACTGTGGTTTTTTATTGTTGAACCGGGGATTGAACTCAGGCCCTTGCGCTTGCCAGGGAAGTGCTTATTCCACTGAACCATCTCCCTGGCCCCTCCACTGTGTTCTTATGGTCTTCCTTACCCTAAAGCGTTCCGGAGAAGACTGGACATGTCAAAGTATTATTTCACAATTTGATAAGCAGTGACTATGAGAGGGTGGATAGTTATGTATTGTGATATCCATGTTGAGGCTCATGTTCACTGAAGGATGGATTTGCATGGATATTTCATTTGCTCCCCATGAACCTAATAAATGGAGTGTTGTGTAGCCCCAGAGGACAGAGGGGGTTTGGGGGCTGGGAGGGTTATGGTAGAGACTAATTCCATAGCCCATGCTCTCAACCCAGCAGCTCAGACCTGCACCTGTGAGCCTGCACAGACACTTTTATGTGTGTTAGAAGAATGGATGTGTAGGCTCAGGAGCCCCACCTGTGCAGGGAGCAGCCCCACTGTGCTGCAGGGCAGAGGCACAAGGTGAGCCTGGCTTCCTGCCCCACACTACCTCTGCTGGGCACCATCAGACAGTGACAATAAGCTCTCTCCTCAAGGATGTGAGAGTCTCTGACATGTCCCTCTGCCAGAAGTACTGAGAATAGAGAGCAGCTGTACCATCTTGGCCTAGCCACCTGCAGCACCACAGAACTTTCCCAGGCTGCCCCAGGATAGAGCCTAAGCCTTGTTATTGGCCTCAAAGCCCAGTGGTTCTAGAACTGATATTCCATTAAATCACTACCACAACCACCAACATCACCAAGCACATAGTCCAGTTTGGAGCGAGCCACCATCATGTTAGGTTGTGGGTGACAGGGGCAAGGTCAGTATGTCTGATTGGCCCTGTGCTTTGGAATATCATCTGTTCAGCCAGGGAACTGTAGCTGCCTCACCTCCATATCCGAACTCCACTATGCAAACAAATGGAATAGAGAGGTGAAGTCACCTGTGGAGACTTTTCATAATGTTTACAAATTCTCCCTCATCTCATCAAAATGTAGGCTGTGTCAGGAAAAGAATCTGTCAATAATCCAAAGGCATAAAGCATGTTATTGTCATTTGGTTGGGAGGCACCAAGGACTCAGAGTCTGAATTCAGCCCTACTGGGTCCATGCTCCGACTTCCAACCCACAACCTGAGGAGAAATGGAAGGGTATTCCCTGTGGACATCTTTGTGTGTGTGTGGCGGGGGGGGGGGGCATCTTACTATGTAGTCCAGGCTGACCTTGAACTCAGTATGTAACCCACACTGGCTCCCAATTCAAGTGATCCACCTGCCTCAGCCTCCTCATTGCTGGGATCACAGACAGGCACCGCCACGCCCATCTTCCCTTCAGATATCTTTTAATAGTTCTAAGTTCATCCAACAATTACAGTGTAAGATTAGGGGACCCACACTTGGAGTCTCTACCTTGGCTGCTGTCTTCATCCTTTTCTCCAGGGGCTGCTCCCAGATCTTCATGAGAGTCTTGTGCTTCTCTACTTTCCTGTTGGGTTAACACACCACAAGGAGCACATCAGACAAGAAATGCAAATACCTCTGTGATCCATGCCCTTTGGTAAAAGGCAATCCAGCTTTCTTAGTTGTTTCTTTTCTTTCTGCAAGGCTGGGGTGCTTGAGCATGCTAGGCAAATGCTCTCTCCCTGAAATATGCCACCAGTTCTTTCTTCACCTTCTTTGTCAATTCTCTTGCCTTAATGCCCAGGGAAGCAGGCTGTTTGAGCACTGCTTGTTCATCCGAGTGTCACTCAGCATGAGCGTGTGTGGGAGTTTGCTACAGGAAGGAGTGAAAGTCACAGGCTACGCTCTCTGGCAGAAGGAAGCAGGGGACCCCAGGGACTTGGTACACCACAGGTGTGACCAGAGCAGAGATGGAAGTAGGAGGGTGAGAAGCAGTTAGCCCTCCAAGGCTGAAGGAAGACAAAGGATCTTGTCTCTATCTTGAGAATAAGTGGAAAGCACTGAGGACTGAAAGCAGGGAAGCCAAAGGGTCAGCCTGGCCTTTTGAGTTCTCAGGATTACTAGGGATTGGGTTTCTTATTACATTTGATCCCCTCTTTCTTCTTTCTCTGAGTCACTTGCAGTATTTGCAATCTCACCAGCTGTGTGGTTCTCAACCTGGCTGTACATTAGAGTGGTTTAAATTTTTTTTTTTTTTTTTTAAGAACCAGGGATTGAACTCAGGCCCTTGCGCTTGTGGGGGAAGCGCTTTTTCCACTGAGCCATCTCCCCGGCCCCTAAAATTTTTTTTAAAGTATGATTTCATTAATCCCCCAAATCACAATCAGCCTCTCTGTGCTGCAGGGCTTTTAGGTGATTCCAACATGCTTCTGGGAGTGGGAACCGCAGGTCTTCTCTAGTGGTTGGAGAAGCAGTTCTTTAGTAACCCAAGAAATGTGGCAGGTGGAGCTGGTGGCCCAAGGAAAGCCCATCAGACTGAGTGAGGAGACAGCTCTAGGCTTTTGTTGTGAGGGTCCCCGCCCCAGCCACAGCTCACTTCAGTGACAGAGCTGGGATGCACTTGGCAGGCCCTCGAGTCCTCTCTTAGTTTGCTCACACCTTTTAGTGACAATCAATTATCCATCCTCTTATCAAATGCCAACCTGCTTTGGGAAGAGACAGTTACTCACTTGCTCATTTGGCATTCTAAATTCCCCATTGAGTTTCCTCACTTCTGGCTTTTTACCCTGTGTGTTTCTCACTTGTTAACTTGGTGCTTGGTGCTGATGAGATACGTTAACACAAAAAAGCTAAGTAGGGGGCTGGTGAGATGGCTCAGTGGTCTAAAGCACCTACTTAGAACAAGCTTAGCAAAGCACAGGGACCACGGTTCAATCCCCCAGCACCACATGCCAGCCAGCCCTGCCCCCTGGTGGGCTGAGCAGGCCACACACACATACACACACTCACACACAAATAAATAAATAAATTTAAAAAAAAGAAAAGCTAAGTAGGTAATCATGTTCTTTCTTTTGGGCTTCTCATTTTGGACACAAAGCAGACTTGGCCTGATACAGTAAATAAAATTCAGCTCTAAATAAATGAAAGATTTTTAAAGGTATCACAGGAAAATTCTGCATTGGTCATAGTGAACTGCTAAGTTAGAAGACTAGAAAGGAGATAGATTTTTTTTTTTTTTTTGAAGATCCCTGTCTTAAAGGCTTTTAATCTAACAGAAAATGGGATTGAAAGTGGGAAGCATTCTTCCTCTTGGGAAGAATTTCAAAGTCAAGAAGGGTAAGACTTCATTTCAACAACATGCAGCTGTGGGCCAGGGGTGTGAGGTGCATTCTCATTTCATACGTGGGGAGACGAGGCAGGGAAGGTTGGGAATTCAGAAAGATTTTCGTGAGATCTTGGTAGAAAAAGAAAGTCAATTTGAATTTCTTTCCATTCAACTGTATGCTGTTAAAAAATATCTATATATCTATATATCTATATCTATATCTATATCTATCTATCTATCTATCTATCTATCTATCTATCTATCTATCTCCATGTTTTTTAAGACATAGGAACACATATGTGAAATGACAGACCTGGGCCATCTATTCACTGCCTCAAATTAAAAGGCACCTAAATGTCCAATCAACTGAAAACAGTCAGATCAGTAGTGATTGACCCACACAATGGAACACCATATGACCATCAGCAAGAACAAAGCATCTGTCCACTAATGTAGAATTCTAAGAAATACTATGCAAAAAGACTGAAGAATATATACAGTATACTAAATTTTCATATAATTCCTATCTTCTATTCATGTCTGTGTTTGCTTACTTCTATGTTACGTATCTAGGGCACACAGGAAATTAGTACTGGTGGCTAAGGCACCAGGCATGGTAGTGTACACCTGTAATCCCAGTACTCAGAAGGCTGAGGCAGGAAGATCACTGCTAATTCAAGGCCATCCAGGCTACATAGCAAGACCCTGTCTTAAAAAGAAACACAAAACAAACAAACAAAAAAATAGAGGTTAATGGAGAAAAGCTGTTATGGTTTGTGTCTAGTTGTCCCCCCAAAGCCTCATGGGGTGGGGACTTCTAGAGTTTGAGATTAATTCATGATCAAGGCTGGGGGCTGGGGAGATAGCTCAGTAGAATAAGCACTTGCCTGGCAAATGCAAAGTTCTGAGTTCAATCCCTAGTATGGGGGGGGGGGACAAAAAATCATGATCAAGGCTGGGATTATGGGTTTTAGTACTGCTGGGATTATGGGTGTGAGTACTACACCCATCCTGGAGCAGATAGCCTGAATACAATTTAAAGGAGACAGACTTCCTCTCTGTTGCCATTTTTTGCTGCTACTCCTCCATTTTGCTCTCTTGCTCTTTGCTACCATGAAAGGTTGCTCTCTGCCATGTGCCACTCTGCCTTGGAGCCAGCTGAATATGGACAGACACCTCCAGTAACTGTGAGCTAAATAAACCTTTCCTTCCTTCATTTTGGGTGTTGAGTATTCATCCCAGCAATGAGAGAAAAGTAACTGAGACAAGAGTTCAACAACTATGAGTTGCACAATCTTATATTTGCATTCAATCCATGAGGGACCTGGTCTAAGCATCAATCAGTGAATGTTTGTTCCTTTCTGCCTTAGGAGCTGAGTCCTTTACAGCTGTGAACATTTTCTGAAGACTACTATTCCATGGAATTCTCACCTCACTGTTAAGGGGCAGATGTGGAGTTCCCAAAATTATTGTCTCCATTTCACAAAGAGAAAATGGTCCCCGAGCATGCCAAAGTCACTTTGTGTCAGAAAGAACCAGGGTTAGTGTGAGTGAGACCACCTGGGGCCATGGATCCTGAATAGACCCAGAGTGCAGGCCCAGCATGGAATCCTGCAGCAGAACTCCCTGCAAAGAGGCTAGAGGCAAGAACCACCCAGCTGATTCAGGAGCAGAACATCTTGCCAGAGTGACACAAAGGGTTCAACTCCAACGTGTACAGCAGAAAGAAGTGGAACACAGCAGCCAGACCCCAGCCAGATCCAAGCAACACCCACCTGGAAGAATCTGAACTTCATAGATCTGGACCTGGTGCTAAGGTAATAAATATCTAAGCTCTACACCAAAGGTCAGAAGACAGTGGTATACAAAATGACAAAGAGAAGGAATAAAATGCAGTCTCAGGCTCCGAGTCCACCCAGTACAAATGCAGAAGACACTAGCACTGAGGAAACTAGAAATCACACACCTGAAATCTCTGAAATAATATCGTTGGAAGTAAAGAAACAACTGCAGAAAGGTATAGAAGAAATCAGATCAGAAATAATTTCTGAACTAAAAAAAGTGGTGATAACTATAGTCAAAGAAGTACTAAATGCTTCTAAAGAATACACTGATAAAAGTAGAGCAAAATATAAAAATAATGGAATACTTGAATAAGCAATATAGCAAAGAAATAGAATGTATGAAACAGATTCAAAGTGATATACAGTAAATTAAAACCTCAATCACAAGATGGCAAAACCATTTGAGTCTAAGTGAAAATAGATTTTCTGACCTTAAAGACACCATTGCAGCTAGTGAAAAAGTAAGCAAAGATCTCCTAAAAACAACTAGGATGCAGGAAAAAATAATTCAATACCTGCAAGATGATGCAAAGATGAACAATGTGAGACTAATAGGCATCATTGAGAAGGAAGGAGTCAATACAAATGATGTAAAAAGAATATGGGCAGAAGTAATAGCAGAAAACTTTCCAAATATGGGGCAACAATCTGACATTCCTGTAATCGAAGCATATAGAACTCCAAATAACATTAACCCAATGAAAACCACACCCAGACATATAATAATCAAGATCCCAGAAATTCAGCACAGGAACAATTTACCAAAAGCCGCTAAAGAAAAGAAATAGATCACATTTAAAGGAAAACCCATCAGAATAATGGCAGATTTCTCTTTACAAGCCATCAAGTCAAGAAGAGTGTGGAGCAAAGTACTTCAAGTCTTGCAAGAAAACAAATTGCAACCCAGACTGATATACCGTGCAAAACCCTCTTTCAAGTATAGTGGAGAAATGAAATATTTCTTTGACAAAGAACAGCTAAAGAATTTCATGATGACAAAGCCAAGCCTACACAGAGTACTAAATGATGTTCTAGAGAGGGAGCAAAATGATTACAGCCCCATGAATGAGAATGGAAAGAACCCACCAAATAGGGCAAACAATTAAACATAGGAGAATAAGAGGTATACAATAGTAGTCTTTCAGTTATTCTTTTATGTACAGCAGCAAAATATTTCCATCAGCACACTCTACAAATAGACTTCTCTTCCACCCTATGGGTCATGATTCCACCTGGGTCTACAGGGTGGATTTCAAAGAAATAGCTGTGGCTCAGTCCTACAAGTGACACCTGGCCACCAGTAACTGTCATGGTCGTTATGCATGTCCACAACACACTAGAACTTTGTGTGATATCCTATCCCTAAACTATGAGAAGTGCTGGTCATTTATTTCCCTTTCCAGTATTTATCTTATG